TTCAAGTTTTTTTCCTTTTTATTTCAATAACTTCCTCTAGCCAATTTTAACAGGTCTTCCAGTGACAAATAATTTTAGTTCCAATTGTCTGAAAGTATCTTTTTTTACTCTTTAATAACTGAAGTACAGGGAATTTATAGTTCACAGTTTTGTTTTGTTTTGTTTTTTCCCCCCCCTTACTTACAAAATATTGTGCCACTAGTTTTTGTCCTCTAATGGGCAGGCAGCGTCTAACACATGGATGGATATTCTGAACAAAGGGATGATTCACAGACTAGAAAGGATGGAGAACAGCTCAAGATTCATCACCTACTCAGGCTGTGTGCAATTTAAAACTGATTTTTTAAAAAATAATTTTTATTTTCAATTACAGCTGACATACAATATTCTATTAGTTTCAGGTGTACAACACAGTGATTAGACATGTATGTAAGTTGAAAAATGATCACCCTAAGTCTAGTGCCCATCTGGCACCAGTTACCGCATTATTGACTGTATGTTCCCTATGCTGTACTTTACATCCTGTGACTCTCCTGTAACTACCAATTTATACTTTTTAACCCACCCCAAACATCAGAATGTTCTATTTCTGATTACTTTAGATTCCATATACAAGTGAAATCATATGATACCCGTCTTGCTCTGATTTCATTTAGCACAGTACGCGGTAGGTCCATCCATGGTGTTGCAGATGGCAAGATTGGATTTGAACCTATGGCCCTGGTCAGTGTGGCTCAGCCTCATGTTTGTGCATCATCACACACTGTGAGGCCACTGCTTGGATTACAGGTTGTAGACTCAATCCCCAGCAGGGGGCATGCAGAAGGTAGTTGATTGGTGTTTCCCTCTCCCTTAATTCAATAAAAATATATTTTAAAAACAAACAAAAATCTTATGAATTATTTTTGAACCACAGTTGACTGTATAACTGAGACCATAAACAAACAAACCTGTAGATAAGGCGGACAAGGGAAGAACAGCTACCCAAATCTGGACTCTTTATTAGCCTGATCAAGGTTTTCTGAGACTTGCAATGCAGTCTCAACTTTCTCTAATCAATCTTCCTTTTTTCTTAAATTTTCATGGTGTCAAACCTAAATTGTAGCCTGACGGGTTCTTCTACCTATGTTTTATCCCGTCCCCCTTTATCTTTTATGTATGATTCCCCCAATAAATCTTACACATCTAATTCTGTTTGGGCATCTGTAAACATAGGGTTTTCACACATCTAATTCTGTTTGGGCATCTGTAAACATAGGGTTTTGGGAAGAAGTAAAATGAGATATTTATTTAGTACATTATTTCAAAAAAAATCTTTTAAAAAAGACTTTTAAAGAGAGGGAGGAAGGGAGGGGGGAGAGACTTGTTGTTCCACTCATTTATGCATTCATTGGTTGATTCTTTTATGTGCCCTGATGGGGGAAAGAAACTTGCAACCTTGGCATACTGGGATGATGCTCTAACCAACTTAGCCCACTGTCTTAAAACAGAAGTCACTATTAAGTTTTTGTGTTTTTTGAAGATTATACATTTCAAGTTTCTATAAACAATGAGAGAATGAATTACTTTTAACATATTTACTATCTGAGAAAGCTTGGTTATTTTTCTTGCTTTAATGGAACAATATATTCCATCAAATTATCCAAGGAAATCCAGATAATTATCCATTTCCTCAAGGTTTTAAAAGCCCATAAAAGGATAAACATTATGTCACTTTAATAACTTCCTCCCTCTATACTTAAGGAATTCAAGTACAGATATAAACTCTAGTGCTGAGGTAACATTGCAATCTTCTCCCAACATGACTACATAGGTGCTTAAGGTTAAATGTGAATATTGCTGTGAGG